TAATGAAGATACTATGACTAAAAATAAATCTAAAATAAAGATAGGTGATCAATTGCAATTGTCACTTAGGGATGACACTTCAAAATTAATTGAGAGAGTTGAGAGTTCAGAGATAATGAGAATTTGAGAGACAGATTTGTTTGTAAGAAATAAAATGAGAGAGGGGTGATATTTATAGGACTTGAGAGGGAGGGGTTAATTTATATATATAAAAATAAAAAAATAAAATAAAATTGGCTGTTGGTGGAATTAACGGTTATTTGACTGTTTCAAAAAAAATTTTTTTTGAATTTTTGACACCTGCACTAACAGGGAGGCAGGGAGCCGTTGGGGTTGGGTCAGGCCGGATGGGGAAAAAATTTTTGGATTGAGCTTTCGAGATGAGTCACACTCCATAACATACTAGAGTCGGGCTGAGCTCTAGAACACATAGTCCTGGGTCTTAGGTTGGGCTTAGGTTCAGGCCTTGTTGGGTGCACCCATATATATAATGTTGGTTATGAAGCAAATGGTGTTGGTTATGAGATGTGGTTATGACAAAAATGGGTAAAGGTTGTGAGATATATGATTAGTGATTATTAGATACGTGATTTTGGTTATGAGCAGAGTGATGTAGTTATAAGTCAAATGGTGTTTGGTTATGATATATGCGATTAGTAGTTATGAGATATGCAATGTTAGTTATGATCAAAGTGCTGTGGTTATGAGATATGTGATTAGTAGTTATGATATATGTAATGTTGGTTATGAGATATGTGAGTAATGGTTATGAGATATTTGATTAGTGATTATAAGATATGTGATTTTGGTTATGAGCAAAGTGGTGTCAAAGGGTGTTTGGTTATGTTATATGTGTTAGTGGTTATAAGATATGAGATATGAGATATTGGCTACAATAAAAGTGGTGTGGTTATGAAATATATGATATTAGTTATGAACAAAATGGTGTTAGTTATGAGATGTGGTTATGACTAAGTTAAAATCAATTTAATTATAGTTATGAAGAAATATGATTTTGACTCATAACTATAAAAAGTAACCTGCTAAACAGGTCACTTTTAATAATGTGGTTCAATCTTAACCATTAATTTTTTATGTACTATACATTTTTTAATAAAATATACTATTGACTTTCCCTCAAATTATATAAACAATCTCTCCATACTTGCTGCATTGCAGTTTGGGCTTTATAGAATTTAAACCACGAAAACAACCTCTCCATATGCAAGGATGATTAAGGCTGCATAACATTTCTCAAATCCTGCATTTGCCGGATCCTCGTGCACATTGTGTTTTAGTGGCACATGCTAATTACTTTGTATGCGAATGGTTCAGTGGGGTCATTATTCAACGGTTCCATATATGATCCACCTAATATCTTTTACAAATTTGTATTTGTTGAGAGGATCAAGCGAACATATTATATGATATTTTAAAATTACTTAATAATGTTTCAATTCGGTGTGGTTGTATTTTCTTTTACAAAAAAGAATTTTCATAAAAAAAAAATTTAGGTTAAATTCATTTTACCCCTTTGTAGCTTGGGTGTGGAGGACTTTACCTTCTTATGGTTTAAATATAATCATAAAGTCATCATATAATTTTGGACTAAAATATTATAGTTAATTTTTTCATACAAACTAATGAAAAATGTATCACATATACCATTTTTTAGTGTAGGTTTATTTTCTCAAAAAATTAAATGAAACTAATACAACAAAAAGACAATTTTTTCCAAACATAAAATTAGATTAATATGATAATTAAAATAAAATAAATTAAAGTATAATTAAAGATGGATCTAAAATATATAATATAATTAAAGATTGATTTAAAATTTAATTAAATAATAAAAATTAATAATTAATAATTAATCTAAAATATAATTAAATTAAAATTAGATTAACATGTTAGGAATTATAATAAATAATTAAGAATTTAGGATTAATTGTAATTGTAATCTAAAATATAATTAAATTAAAATTAGATTAAAAAGTTAAGAATTATAATAAATAGTTAAATATTTAGAATTAATTGTGATATAAAATATAATTAAATTAAAATCAAAATAAAATGTTAAGAATTACAATAAATAATTAAAATTTTATAATTAATTATGATGTAATTGAATAATATTAGACATTATAAATTGTAGGGTAAATTACAAATACACCCCCTGAAATTTTCTTAAAATAGAAATTGTCCCATGTGGTTTGAAAAATTATAAATATATCTCTGTTAGAATTTTTTATTTAACATAATTAACTGAAAAAATAAAATTTCTAGCTTTTCTCTTATACAATAATAAAATTATCTGAATTATTAATTGAAATAAAATTTTTACATTATTAAAAACTGTTAATTAACTTGATGATTTAGTAATAAAATGACCTATTTGTTATGAAATTAGAAACCTTGGAGGGCATAATGTAATTTTTAAAATCACAGGGGATAATTTATAATTTAAGTAAACCTTAGGGGATGTGTTTGTAATTTATCCTAAATTTTTATATGTATAAGAGAGGAGAGAAGAAAAATAATAAAAAAAAGTATACAGTTTAAGAGTATTACACTTATTTCATATCTATTGTTAACAATTGCATTTTGATTCATAGGAGATAAATGATTGGGGGATTTGGTCATAGCCCCCCACTATCTAATTTCTCTTTCAAAAGGACGAGAATTATATAAGTACTTTCAAAACCCCCTGATATTTTAAAACTTGTTTCTTTTACTATATTACCCTCATATCTATCAGCTCTCCTATTAAAACATTTTTACTATGTATTTCAAAGTAAAATTTTACTCTGTATGAAAGTAAAATTTTACTCTGAATGAGAGTAAAATTTTATACTCTAAAACTTTCAGAGTAAAATTTTACACTCTGAAACTAAAAGTAAAATTTTACTCTGTATAAAAGTAAAATTTTACTCTGAAAAATAAGTAAACTGTGAGACTCTGAAGCTAAAAGTAAAATTTTACTCTGTATAAAAGTAAAATTTTACTCTGCTTCTGTCAAATGAAAAAAACAGAGCAATAGAACCAACTCTGGTTCTATCAAATGAAATTTGATGTTTACTCTGAAAAATCGATGGAACTTTGAGCTTTGAGCTTTGAGCTTTGAGCTTTGAATCAGGCCTATAATCCTTGAATCAATCGATGTTTACTCTGAAAAACATTGAATCATGCCTATAATCCTTGAATCAGGCCTATAATCTGAAAATTTTAGAGAAATCTCAATTTTTCATACCCTGGTTCTTCAGATTTTTCAGATTTTTAAAACTTTGAGCTTTCAAAAATATTCGAATTCAAATCTCAAAACACACAAATACACACATATATATAGATATATATAGATATATATATATAGAGAGAGAGATTACAGATCGGAATATGTAGATATATATATATATATTCGAATTCAAATCTCAAAACACACAAACACACACACACACACACACACACATATATATATATATATATATGTATCAGCGCGATTTGCAAGTTCTCCACAGCTCCGGCCATGGAGGAAGCTAAGGTTAGAAAAGAGAGACGAGATAGAAGATGAACAGTTGAAGGAGAGTTGAAGGAGGAGAGTTGAGAAAATGCAGAGAGAGATCGTCGGAGCTTAGGAATGACACAGCTCCGGCCATGGAGGAAGCTAGGGTTAGAAGTGAGAGACGAGAGAGAAGATAAATTTTGTATCTGGATTGTGTATATGTGAGGGTATAATAGTCTGATAAAATATTTAAATAATAAATTTTGTTCTTTATGCAAGACTTTATAATTATGAGGGGGTTTAAAAAGTATAATTTTTTTCTTAGTCCTTCTAACAATGAAAGAAAGGTAAAGGGGGTTTATAATCAAATTTCCCATGATTGGCTTCATCACAAGGGGGTAAAATACATTTTGCCCCAAATTCTAATACTTTACGATTACGTAATTTCTCATCAATGTTTTTTTTTTTTCCAAGGAAAAATGTATGCAATATTTAGTTGGATGGATTATGAATTTGGATAGAAATTTTGAAAGAAAAATGGAAATGTGATTGAAATGTGAATGAAATATAGTTATATTTTACCTACATTTTCCCTTTCAAATCCCTATTCAAATATATGATACAAACACGACCCTTATATTTCTTTCTTAACAAGATTTATTACATTTTCTATTCCTAAACTATCACCAAATTGTCTATTTAATTCCTGAACTATCGATTGAGTCTATATAATCCCTAAAGTATATAAATTAAATTCTATTTAGTCCTTAAACTTATGATTGAATCTATTAAAAGCTTAAAGTATTTAATGCAAACATATTTAGTCTCTGAAAGGATTACAAAAATAAAATATATGCCTATAAGTATTATAAATTAATAGAATACCTTACCAAGTTAAGATTTTATTCTAGAAAAATTTTAAATTTTTATTCTATCTTTAAAAAGTATTTTTTTTATTGTGTGTTTAAATTAGTATCAGTGTCTGATTTTCAGTCTTGCCAATAAAATTATATGAGTAGTAGACATATTGAAAAAGTAGAATTATAGAATTTAAATAATGACATTTTGTTACAAATTATAATAGAATAAAATAATACATTAATTAAGTTACAAAAAAAAAAATAGCAAAAAACTTAATAACAATCAACTAAGAAATTATAAATGAAATCTAATATATAATACTAGATAAAGACAAATAAGTAGTCATTGTGGTAGATAAGTAAAAAAATAACTCCTTCAGATCACTCAGTGGACCAATTTCCAATACTTCAAGTTGAGGAAAGTTACAACCAGGTGCTCCGGGGCAAACCATCTTGCTCCCCACATATGAATAGGAGTATAATTTTAGGATCTTTAGTTTAGGGAGTTTCTTTAGAGTCTCCATTGGGTCTTTTACTAAACAATTGCAGGAAAGGGTAATCTTGGTAAGGTTTGGGGGAAGTTTATCATGTTGGGGCAACTCACACCAAATGTGCTCCAGCTTCAGGCTAAGAAGATTCTCCTATCGAGACAAATTCCATGTTCCTAATATCTCACCTCCGATATTTGACAAGAACAACTTTTCAAGCTTGGTCAGTACGAGTGTTGGGTCTGACAATATCTCAATGATACGCTCAGACGAATGAACACCTAACTTTCTCAAATTGACGAGTTTGTACAAAAAACTGAAATCGCACCACACTTCTCCCCTCAACCCATATAGGGTTTGGAGATTTGGTAAACAAATTTCAGTTCGATAAAATATTCTATCCAAGTTGATCCCACAGAACGGAGGAACCTTGCAGGAACGAGGTAAGAGTATATGTCTTAGTTGCTTCATAGTCCAAATAACATCAGGAAGGATGACACAACCACTACTTTCTCGAACATCAAAGGTTAGCAAACCTCTCAGATTGCTTATGGTGTGAGGAATTTCTATATAATTTGTGGATCCCAATCCAAGGTAATGCAAGTTCTTCAAATTGCCAACTTCATTGGAAGAGGCCTCGGAAGATAATCGCACTTAACACTTAGAACTCGAAGAAATTCAAAATCTCAAAGAAAATTCTTAACCATTTTCCTCTCTACGAAACTTAGATCTCCACTAAAATTTAGCATAGAACGAAGCTTTGGAGTTCGATAATTCAAAGAAATGTAGTCCTCGAAATTACTACCATGAGTAGTGACTCTACGTACTCCGTTCCACGATTACAGGTGATTACATCATTTTGAGTGTCAAAGAAATTAATTTCCTTGGCCTCCCGAATGCAAAGATTGTGCAAAATATCATGAATGTGACGACTCCTAACCTTTCCATGAAACCTCCTTTGAACAACTTGAATCAAGTTCCTCGCAATCAAGTGATTTAGATAATCATCCCCCACATCCTCAACCTCTCTCACTCCACTACCTTGTATAAATCCCTTGGCTGCCCATAAATTAACTAATTTGAATGCAGAAATTTTATGGTCCTCTGGAAAAAGTCCAAATTATAGAAAGCATGGTTTCAAATTTGTAGGCAAGTCTTTGTAACTCAGTCCGAAGATTTCTGAGCATTGATCTTCATCTTGACCCATGCCCTCAGTATCCCCTTCCATTCGTTTTCTGAACTCTCTCTTCATAACAACAATCCTGCTGCTAGTACAATTGCGAGTGGTACACCACCGCATCTTTTTAATAGTTGCTCACCAATATTCTCCAGCTGAGGGGGATCACTTGCTTCAACCATAACCATTTTAAAGAAGAGTTTTCTACTGTTTTCTTTATTTAAAGGCCGCAGCTCATGTAGAGAGCTCTTCCCGCCGACATGAGTACCCACATAACTGTTTCGAGAAGTGAGAATTATTCTACTCCCATTCTTCGTATTGGTAGGGATGGCATTCTTTATAGCACCCCATGTCTCAATATGCCACATATCATCAAGGAGTATTACATACCTGTGTTCGCTAAGGAATGTAAACAAATTGACCTCGATGTTCTCCTCCCATTTCTCCTTCTCTAAGCCCACTTGTCGTGCAATGTCTCGTAAAAGTTCTCTTATATTTGGTTGCTGAGAAACATAAATCCATGCAGAACGCTCAAAATTATGTTTAGCGGACTTAAAAACTTTCTTAGCAAGAGTTGTTTTGCCCAGTCCTGCCATGCCAATAATTGAGATCACAAGACCTTGTAATTCTTTATTGAGCATTTTTGCCACCAAATCTTCAATGTGTTTTTCAAAACCAACAACATTTGGTTCGTCAATATGAGGAAAAGATGGTCTTTCATCCCACATGTCTCTCCCACAACTACCACTAGATTCATTGATGCCATAAGTTTGTCTGACACGATTGATATCCTCAACTCTTCTTTTGATCCCTTCAATCTCCACAGCAAAGTTACGAGTATCATAACCATAGCAGACAATACAAGTGGCACTCTTGAGACAACCCGAAAACTTCTTCCCTTTGTGTGATGCTATCCAGGGGAAGTATTTCTGCATAATGTCCTCCACATCACAAGCAAGATCTCGAATATCAATCACCAAGTTGGCCACTCCTCTGCTTCCCCCTTGTTTGGCTTCAGCATCCTCCAAGTAGGCTTGAATATGCCTCACCTCACGTTCAATCCAAACAATGTCTTCTCGCAAACGAGACAAGCGAGAACCTTCTTTCAAAACTAGATTGCCAAGTACACCAACGGTTTGTCTGAGGGCTGCAGTAGCTCCGGCAAGAGCAATCTCTGCCATCTTTTCTTTGGTGGCTACAAATTACAGATGAGAAGTTCTGACAAAATTATTGAAGACAACAGCTTCTAAGAAAAACACACAAGAATTGGGACAAGAGTGAACCACAATCACAGAATTGTATAAATTTCAACACAACATAAAATTAATTAAGCAGGTTAATTACACAATTGGTCCCTAATTATGTGATTTGTTACACTTTAATTCCCAATCTTTTAATCTTTTTACTTTGGTCCCTAATATCGCGATCCCGGGTTTACCCTTGTTGTACCATGATCCGGACATGTGTCCGTGGATGTTGGTAGTTGTTTATTATCTTGTTTGCATCCTCTTTACTTCATATTTGAGTTATGGGATGTGTTGGGTGGGTTTGTTTCAGGTTGGTTGAGTTTAGAAACCAAAACTAGTTGTCCAGATTTTTGGCCTGTCCGCTCGAGCGGAGATGTTGGCGCTCGAGCGGGGAATACACCCATCCAGTATTTGTTGTGCAGTGTTGTACGCTCGAGCGTAGGGTTGGGAGCTCGAGCGGAGGTCTGGTTCTGCAAAAGTGCTGAGCGAGTGCATTCTGCGCTCGAGCGGGAGGTTGGCCGCTCGAGCGTAAGTCTGTGAGTGGCCGCTTGAGCGGGGTGTTTTACGCTCGAGCGGAGACCTGGGTTAAAGTCCCGAATTTGTGACTCTTCAAATCACTTTTTGCTTTCTCTTCTCTCTCTTACTTTTCCAAAAAGTCATTTTCAGAGCTTCTCACTCTAAATCGGCCCTTCTCTCTTAGATTTGATCTAGTAAGGATCGTTTACTCACCTTTTGTCTTCACAAAAGTTGTGTTGATCGTCGAGAGCTTACTTTTGATCTGAAAATTTCGAGGTTTGGAGCATTTTGGTTTTGGTCTTCATCTCCTTTGGGGCTCCGAATTTGAGGTAGGAATATCCTACTCCTCTCTATGGATTTTGTCTTTAAATTTTGGTATCTTGAGATGTTGGGGTTGGTTTGGTCATTTTGTGAGAGTTTGGGGCTTTTGTGCTATTTTACAAAAGTTGGGGTTTTACTCATAATAAACCTAGATGCATGTTTGGCTTAGAGAAATGGAATGAGTGTTAAATCATTGATGAAAATGGGACCTAAGGGTTGAAATGTTAATTATGGGAATTGACCTAATTACATTGTTTAATTAATTGGGATAATTAATTGAGAAGAATAAGGAAATGAAATGTTGATTGAATATCCATTGTGCATTTATTTTCTGTTTAGAAATAACTGCGTTGGGCTATCGGTGGAGGATAGTCGTGATTGTTGTAGACAATGCATGATGATTAGGCAAACTGAAACTAATCAATGGAATGTGTCATGGAACTTGACGGTTGATAGAATACATTAATTGTATGTATTGGGTGATTGTATATAGAACCATTGTGTTTGTATACGTTATGTGTAGAGGAGGAGATAGGGGATGTACTCCGCGGTTTAGGGGAAGATAGGGGATGTACCTCTAAACCGGATAGTGTTGGGAGAAGAAAGGGGATGAACTCCGTAGATACAGCTCATATGCTTGTCTAGAGAAGTGAAGATAGAGCTCATATGCTTATCTTTGTGAAGTGTGGATATAGCTTATATGCTTATCTGTGGATATTGTTGTTATACATATCTGTTGAGAATGTGGATATAGCTTGTATGCTTATCTGTATGTGGGATATAGTTTTTATACATATCTGTGGAAATGATGATAGAGCTAGCATGCTTGTCTATTGAATAAGGGAAAATGAAAAGTGACTTGGATTCATTAGTCGGTTGACATAAATGTGTGATTTATGTGATTGTATCAGTGTTGGCCATCTATCAATTGCTAATATTTTAGTCATTGTTCATGGTTGGTTTAGTGTATTTCTACTAGGCTGTGGCTCACCCTATATGGGAATATCATTTTCAGGTGCAGGTAGCATGCCACCTCCAAGGACATAGCTTGGGAGGCTTGAGGCGGACATAATGATGTCGTTTTACTTTTTGATGTATTACATGTAAATACAAGCCAAGGGCTTAATGTGTATGAGTTAGTACTCTTTTGTTGTAACCAAGTGTTAACTTGGAAAGCTGTAAGCCCGTAGGGCATTTTGCTTTTATTGTTAACATGTAATACTTTTTGTAATGAAACACTGATGAATAGAAGAATGTGGTTATTTCATATGTTAATGAATGTGTTATTTGATGGGTTGTTGCTATTATTTTTGAGGGCGTTACACCTTGCTACCATATGCAAGACATATATGATTCCTTATACCTTTTCATTGTTTGGGTTATGTAAGTTTGTTCTAGAAGTTATATATTTTTGTGTTAGAATTTATACATTGTTGACTTGCTAGGCATTAAAGATTATACTCCCTTTCTAAACTATGTGTCAAGAAAATGATTGCTTGATATTAAAAAATATTTAAGTATCAACTAATTATTCTCTTGACACATAACTGAATATAGAAAGTGAATCTAAAAAGTAAATTTATATATCATTTTTCTAAACACCACACAACCTAGCTAGAGCAGTTGGGGGTTGGGAAGGCAACTCAGGGTTGGCCAATCCCAATCCCTAATGTGAGTTTTTTTTTTTTTTTTTTCTTCTTTCTTTTTTTAAAGTTTGAAATTTTTATATTTTATATTACTTAGAAGAAAATGTAAATTCAAATTGAAGGGTGCGTTAAGAGTTCAGTTTAAGGATTAATCTTATTTAGTGAGAAGGACACTGGCCGGCAATGGTTGTTTGTAACGCCCCAAAATAATCCCACATAAATGTAATACATCAACCCACAATCACTAAATAATAACCTCGACACATAAAAGATATTGGAAGGTCGTAATCACAATGTTCTATTACATAACTTCAAATATTTATACAAAAGTAATCTCACATGCGATTATATATTCATTGAAAGCTTGTACATGAATCTATAGCATGTGAAATCATTGAACCAAAATGAATAAAGGCCCTCAAGGGCTTACAAATTCCAAGGCATGAGCCTGGTGTAGACACCCCATTTTTGACCGTCCTCAAGACTTGAACGTCACCGTCTGAACACCCAGTGATCATCCATGTTTGTGTTCGTTTAGAGTTCCCGGAGGTCTCGGCTACGCGCCTTGCCTCAGGATCTCCGAACTCGACTGTTTAGTGTCTGGTTCTGCACCAAACACTTGTGTTTTGTCTTGGAGGGGCAGGGAATACCTTGTGAGGCATTCCCACCCATCACCGGCCATGGCCAGAAGCCACCGGCTGGTATTTTGATGCCATCGGCAATATATATTGCCCGTCGGCATTCTTTTTTGCCGGTCGGCACTCAATTTTGACAAAGTGGCATTTTTGAGCAGCCGACTACTGTTCATCTTCTTTTGCAGATATTTTATTACAGCTGTATGTCATTTTGTTCCCCTCCATACACGTGTATGGAGGGATGGCTTCCTTGTTAGCTTACCTTGTAAGCTTTACAAGATTGGCTCCTCTATAAGAGGAGCCCTCCTCTCTTGGCTCTAGGTTAGACACTTGAGAGAGGAAAACATTGTGAGAGCTCTGGTTTTAGGTTTAGGGTTTGATATATATTCTATCTCTATTCCTCTCTCTCATTTAGCCTTTGTGTGTGTTTAATTGTGTTTGTGTCTTACTATTGCACACAAACACATAGTGTTACACATTGCCTTGGCTACTGAGGTTCTAAGAGGGTGTTCTTGAGGTTCTTGAGCTTTCTTGAGCTCAAAGAAGCTGCTGGAGCTTCATCTTTGAAGAAAGTCAACAAGGGTAAGAAACTAGTCCCATTTTACCCCATTTTTGCATTCTATTTTTGCCTATCTTAGAACTGTTTTTGTGCTTAGTGTATAACATAAAAAAGTTCTGTTTTTAGGCCCTCTAAATAGTTTATTTAGGGTGTTTTGTTGTTTGAGGTTGTTTGACCCCTCCTAAGCCTTGTAAGGCTCCATTTTGTGCTATCTTGTGTAAGCTCCGAGACCTTGGTGTTTGGGCCTCCTCACCACTGAAATCTTGAGGGATTTCAGAGGTGAGGATGGTGCCTTGAGGTCCCAAGAAGGACAAGGCCACCCCCTCTCCTTGTTGTCCTTGAAATGGACCATTTTTGGCCTCTTAAGGGAGCACCTAGCTAAGCTTCATGTTGACCATGCCTTGGCTATTTATTGTGCTTATTATGTCATAATATGCCTTTGTTTTTTGTTGGTTTTGGTACACCATGCATGCTTAGCATACCTACCTTGTAATGCCATGTTTAGGCCTTAACATGCCTTAGGTTGTAAACCATTGTTCTAGCATGTTTTAGGTCTAGCTTTGTGAAGCTTTTGTGCTTATTTTGCCATGCTTGAGGTCTGTCCATAGTTGTTTGGGTCGGCCATGCCGTGCATTGTATGCCCCCTTTGCATTTTGGCTTATTGGCCTTAAGTGTGTGAGTATGTAGCATGCTTTACTTGCTTTGTTTTATTAGTTTGGCACCATTTGTAGCATCATTTCAGTCCCTTTGACATGCTTGTATGCTTGCCTTGGACACCTCTTTAATGCTTTCAAAGTTTGTGTAGCATGCTCCATGTTTTGGCATTTGTGCATGCCTTTGAATTTAGGTCATTTGGATGCCATCTAAGTGATCTTTAGGCCTTGTCTTAATATGCTAAAGTTCTGTTTTTAGTCATTTAATTCATGCCATGTGTGGTAGCACTAAGTGTAGTTCAATGTTTCTTTGGTGGGCCTTAGGAATTGAACCATATCTGCATACATGTGTGCGTGTGTTTTGGGCCTCATTTCCTTGGCTTTGGCCACTGTTTTGGGCCTAATTAGAGCTGCCCAAATCATGTTTAAGTCTATCTCTTTATTTGTTGCATGTACTCCTTGTATGTTGTAGCATATTGGTGAGTTGTTGCATAATTGAACTTGCATGATTGAATGAAGTCACATGTTTGTTTACATGCTTAAACACCCACATTGTGCCTTGCATACTTGTTTGCTTGTTTGCATTATCCCATGCCTTGCATGC